CCAGAATTCAGGGGCTTTGGATTTGGATTCAATAATTACTTTTGACCCTACGTGCTACAGATGTTGGAGATGGTCCTCGCTAGCACAACAAACTGAGAATTAATCTCAATAATAACTAATATAATAAGATCAGGTTGGCTCAGAAGAATTGAGAGGAATGCCTGAACTCATAATGCCTGCAACCGACACCATCAATATTTAGTACTCTGTCCACATGCGAATGTAGGGGCGTTAATCATAGCAAATATAACTTGCAAAAATGTTTTTTTTAATAAATGCTTTGATTTGATTTTAGCTGACTATTTTTACAAGTCAGTCCATTAAATGTTTCATATGTGTATGTATTTTTTTTACTCGTGCATCAAGCAACCACAATCATTCCAATAAATTGATCTCTACCATCTTACAGTAAATAAAAAAAAAGTATAGTGGAAACAGAAAGGATTTTGATCTCAATATTGAAAGCGGGTTACATAGCCTTTACAAACTCAAGCTGAGCCAAACAAGACCAGCTCTTCATTTGGAAACTTTCTTCATTAAAACATACATGTTTCTAATTTGATGATACATCCAAAAATATACAGAAACATATATCGCATTCGAATCACCAAATACACTACCAGCCTATTACACTTGACAATATCCTCTCTCATCTACGTTACATTGGAATCACAAGTTCCACGATAAACAACTCCCCATCAAACCTCAACCCATAAGCCTCCCGAGGCTGAAGCATTCCATCCACCATTCCTCCAAATATATAGATACAAAGCCCTGACTTATCTGTGCATGCACCATGAAAGGACCGATAACCCGGGTTCCAATCTTCAACCCTCAACTTCTTCCAAATCTCTTTGGCTGAGGCCTTCTTCCAACTAGTCGACTGAACTCTTAACAGATTATTAACATCCAACAACCAGAAATCATCTTTTCTTTGTCTCTGTGAATCCTCACCACCGTAAATGAGGATTTTGCCTCCAAGGATTAGACTCGCAGAATGACCAACACGAGGTCGGGGCATTTCTGTAATATCTGACGAAATGTCATATTTAAGCTCTGTCCATTTGGGCTTATCTCCTCCTAAATCGAACACCCACAAGTCGTTGAGAACTTCATAGCCTGAACCTCTTCCACCGAATAAGACCATCAATGTTCCGCTGATCCACGTTAACGAGTGGCCTGATCGAGCTGGAGGTGATGGACAAATGTGTGGTAGTTGATGCCACCTGGCAGAATGGAGGCCGTTGGATAAGTCTAAAAGCCAGGTGTCACTCAGAC